CAGGATGGTCTCGATCTCTTGACCTCGTGATCCACCCGCCTTGGCCTCCCAAAGTGCTGGGATTACAGGCTTGAGCCACTGCGCCCAGCCAGTAATATATAATTTTTTAATTTTTTTATTAAAAGTTTTATAAATAGAAAACTTAAAATTTCAATTAAATAACATCTGCAACACTACCTTAAAAAGGAGACTTATACTGAAAAGTATAATAAACATATATGACAGACTCTTAGAGAAAATTCTATAAAGAAAGAATAAAAAGAATAGGTACAACAATTTTCCTCCTAATCAAGAACAAAATTCCTAATCTTTTAAGATCAACTTTCTACTTTGAAGTGTAATCCTCTTATGAATGTAAAATACTATCTTGTAAATGTAAATATATTTTTCTTACAAGTGACGAGATGCCCTCATGATTTAAATATTATTCAAAACAGTGGCACAGTTTAAATTTTTAGAATTTGAGTACTAGAATTACAATATTTGAAAATGGAGTCTGTGCTATGTTCTAAAATTATAGAAGAAAATGTCACTAAAACAGTAGTGATTTCATCTTTTCCCAGAGTGTATTTTCTAAGAGTTATTTCCTAGGGGGCTTTAGAACTTTTTACAGTTTTAGTGATATATTCTGTGAAAGCCCTTAGTCTTAATAGGAATAATACATAGTTTTGATTGCCTTAAATTTTAATTGCTTCACTTGGCAAATTTATGTCTCAATTTCATATTCTGTGGTATTTTAATACCCTGCTTGTGCAGAAGAATAAAAAGAGGAACGAAAGTAACATTCAGTCCTTGCATTGAGCTTTTGCCAAAGAAGTCTAAATAATTTCTAAGATGCCATTTAATAAGTCCATTTGAGAAGCTTTTATATGACTCTTATAACTTTAAAATAGAGTCTTGAAGTTAATTAAAACTCACTTTGCTTGTGATGGGTTCTACATTAACATGGCAGAATTAAAAGGTAATTTTATATTACTAAGGAAAAGAAACTGCCATATGACAATAGTTCCCAAATTTTTCTATTTTTTCAGGCTGCCTTTTATGCCTAGATTTAAAAACACTAATTAAAATATATAGTTTGTTTCCATTTGTGATTTAATTTTATTTCTATAAATAAAAACTATAGATAGTATTTCATCTAAAAACTGCTAAACCAGATTTTCATTTTAAGGGCATGGCAGAAGTAAGGAAAGGCTAACTTGTTTCAATTACTTAACATATTTATTCAGGTAGTCACCAAAACCAGAATTTAAAATCTATTTTTAGTTAACTCATTTAAAGTTGATGTGTTTTATTCCTTTTTTTTTTTCCTTTTTGTGGCGATCTTTTTAACTGAATTACTGGAAGTCATGGGGCGTTCTACTCCTCCTAGGCTATCTTACTACGTTCAATATTCAAAGCTTTATCTTTCTACCACTAACTTTAATTTTACATTAAGCTCAGTTTGTATTATGATATCAAATTCAGCCTGAGGGATTACTTTGAACTTTCCTAGGGTATTTACAGAATTAATTTGTCCTTACAGTATGTAAATACCAAGAGAGCATTCCATTTAATATTATTTTTATTAAATTAACTTTGGAGTAAAAGATCCAAGAAAAGCCCTATACTGAGATCACATGTTTACTAAATCCTGCATTCTCTGTATAGTCTTCACATATTTCTACTTTACAATTCTTGTAAAATAATTCATTAAAAGAAGCAGGCAGATAATGACAAGTAAACTTTTTAATTATGTTTATCTAAGGTTGACAATTGCAGTTTTATTTCGCTTGGATCATAATGGCGTGTAAGCATTTTAGGCCCCAGAATGCCAATGAGTAGAGCTCCATTTGGAGCTGTGATCAAGATGGCTAAAAATGCTACTGTCATCACATCCTTCGAATATGATTCCAAGTTGGGTGCGGAGATTCTTGCTGTTTCTAGAGCCAGAGGACCTAATACAGCCTGCATTTAGAGGTAAAAATGGGGCATAAAGAAAAATGTTAAGCTGAGTAAATAGATCATATAAATGGCTCTGTTAAAATAAAATCTAGTACTAGACTATTAAAAAAAAAACGAAAGTACTCAGTAATTTTCATAAGTTATTCATCAATTCCCTGTTCTTAGATGTGGAGGAAGGGTACAATATTGACAAATCAGCAGGCAAATATTTTCAGGCTGATTTTGTGCTCTTGTCCTCTCAGTTTTCCTCTATTCAAATACCTCTTTTGAGTGTTCATGTTGCCCTCATAACACCAGGAGTTCTAACAAAACCAGTTTTGCTTAGTTGCCTTTACCATGTACCAGTGGTTCTTGGCTACAACAAAACAACATAAAATATTAAGGTTTCTTATGGTTCTCTAGGATTTGTTGCCCTTCTTCTCATTGTTCTCTCTATTCGGGGGCACTGTGTTATAGCAGAACTGACAGCAGGCTTGGAATCTAGCAAACTGGGTTTGAATTCTGTTTTTGCCACAACCAGGCTAGTGATCTTGTACAAATGACTCAAGCTTTCTAAACTTCTACTTATTTACTTGTAAAATCAAGAAAAAATACTTATCTTACTGTACGGTTGTGAAAATTAAATATGAGAATGCAAAGAATACCTGGCACACAGTAGGTATTCAGATAATAGTAAGTTTCTTTCCCCCCAAGTCACTCCTCATCCCCTGCCAGTCAGAGAATGAATTCCCTTGAAGTTTTTGTTTTCAAATGACTCTACTGGGTCGCAAGTTTTTTTTTTTTTTTCCTAGTTACTGTCTACCACATTATTTTTAATAACATAAAGCAAATTTCCTGCTAACCCTCTTTCTTTGTGTTTAATAATCCAGGCATGAAATTGCCTTAAAATTTGGGGGAATTAAATACCAACATATAACACATTTTCTATGGAGTTGCAAAGTAACAACATAACAGTAGAAACATTACCTCTGATATGGAACATTATGGGAAAAGAACCCCTCAATTTAAGATCAATTTCTATATCCTAAATCAATAATTTAAAATGGTTATCTTTTTATATAATAACTTTTAATGTACTGAACACAAGCCAGTGTGCTGGAGGATGCAAGGGAGAAAAAGATTATCAGGGAGAAAACCAACTCTAAAGACCCTTATAGTTTAGAAGAGGATTTGAACATAAAAGAACTACAAATAGAAAAAGCAAAAAACAAACCCACTGACTTCTAAGAGATGATGATGATGAAACTAGAAATAATATTTATATAGTTACATGGCATTCATCATATAGCAGATATCATTCTTAAAGCTTTTCCTTTAACAACTCATTTAATTCTCATGACAACCTTATTATGTGAGGACTATTAATAGATCATAAATGATTTCCTCCTAGTGACTGAGATTTAATATTATTTCTTTAAAAGAATCCAATTGCCAACCTGATCTTACATTTGTAAACTAAATTCTTTCTTTACTCTCCTAGTAGCTTCTATTTTTCCACTCTAATTTTTATCAGTAACTTTAAACTGAGGAGTAAGAGAAGGAGCTGAACACTAGCCAATTGTATTTCAGCAGCAGAGAATGGTGGAAGAGGATAAAGGTAAAAATAATTTAAAATTAAAATTTAAAATATTTGTTGATCTTATTTACTTGTGACATTATCATTATCTATTATTGCTATTGTGACTCTACTTGTATAAATAATTAATTTTTTATGTCTTGCCAGTTCCTGGAACCAGCTTGATATTCTTTGTGCAGAAGCTAGCCTGGAGCCAGTAGACAGGAATAGGCAGAAGCAGAATAACACCGCAGGACTTGAGTGAGTGGTCTCTTTCCTCATACCTGCTTTTCTTTTTTCCCTGCTTTATGAAAATTATGAAATAATAAAACAAAATTGCAAGAGTATTGTTGGAAAGAGAGAACAAAGGGATGCATAGATAGCTGTAGATTTATTATTCCCTGCAGCAGACATTAAAAATAAATAAGATATTATAATTTATATTACTTGAATGTAAGATAAAATAACAACATTATTTGAACACCACCAGATGCCAGAGAGAATGCTAAGCACTTTACATGGATCCTGACAACACTGCTATGAAGTAGATACAATCATAGACTTCATTGTAAGACAAGAAATAACACTGAAGCACTGAGAGGTTAGAAAATAATTTTCCTGAGGTTATAGGCAAGTAACATGGTATTCAAAACAGGTAGTCTAGCCTTATGAATGTGCTTTTCTAACCATGATAATAGAGGTTTTGTTGCATGAAAATTTAGGAGCTTCTGTTTTGGAATAACAACTGAGAAAAGAACCAGAGGAAATTGAAGTATATTATGCTAGCAATTAAACAGCCTAACAATAAGTAGCAATATATTTTAGTAGGAGGAGAATATCCTTGAATAAGAGGGCAAGATTATAAGGTTTCCCTTTCTGTTCATTTATTCTTGTAGGCATGCAATACACATTTGCCTCCTACATGTCAGGCACTTTGTTAAGTGCCAGGGAAAAATAATGAAAAGCAACTGCAACAACCAGACATTGTCCCTGTCATTACATAGGCTATCAAGATTGGGGGGAGGGTAGAGATTTAGCTATCGACCAAATAGTTATACATATAAATGGGAAATTAAAAACAATATATGTGCATTTGTGTGATGGAGTAAGTGGCAGAGACAGGAAAGGTATTTTTGAAAATCAATGTGTATCTATTTTACTTTACTTTTTTTTTGAGACAGGGTCTCACATTGTCACCCAAGCTGGAGTGAAGTGGCATGATCTCAGCTCACTGCAGCCTCAACCTCCTAGGTTCAAGCAATCCTCCTGCCTCAGCCCCCAAGCAGCTTGGGCTACAGATCGTGCCACCATACTTGGCTAATGTTTGTGTATTTTTTTGTAGAGACGAGGTTTTGCCAGGTTGCCCAGGCTGGTCTTGAACTCCTGACCTCAAGCGATCTGCCCGCCTTGGCCTCCTAAAGGGCTAGGATTACAGACGTGAGCCACTACACCCAGTCTGTGTCTCTACTTTAAAAAAATTGTAACAATTTAGCTTTGTTATATTCAGCAAAACATAAAAACTACAATTTTCAGATATATTCTTATATATTTTAGGAAAATACAAAACATATTTTCACAAACTTAGGAAGTACTTACCATTGAAAGAATACTTTTTAATTTCAAAAGAATTGCTATTAAAACTGAGATATAAAAAGATTATGTTGGCTGGGCCCAGTGGCTTATGCTTGTAATCCCAGCACTTTAGGAGGCTGAGGCAGGAGGATCACTTGAACCCAAAAGTTCAAGACCTGCCTGGGCAACATAGCAAGGCCTCCTCTCTAAAATAAAATCAGAAAAAAAGGCTAGGCATGATGGCTTATGTCTGTAATTCCAGCACTTTGGAAGACCAAGGCAGGCGGATTCCTTGAAATCAGGAGTTTGAGACTAGCCTGGTCAACATGGTGAGACCCCATCTCTACTAAAAATACAAAAATTAGCCTGGTGTGGTGGTGTGTGCCTGTAATCCCAGCTAGTCTGGAGGCTAAGGCATGAGAATCTCTTGAAACTGGGAGGTGGAGGCTGCAGTGAGCTGAGATCATGCCACTGAACTCCAGCCTGGACAACAGAGTGAGACTCTGTCTAAAAAAAAAAAAAAAAAAGTCAGAAAAAAATTAGCTGGGTACAGTAGCAGGTGTCTGTGATTCTAGCAACTCAGGAGGCTGATGTGGGAGGATTGTTTGAGCCTGGGAGGTTGAGGCTGCAGTAAGCTGTGATCACGCCACTGCACTCCAGCCTTCATAACAGAGTGAGACCTTGTCTCAAAATAAAAATAAAAATGGTAAAATGTTACATTTTTTTTTTGTCGGTTTTGGTTTGTTTGTTAAAGATGGAGTCTCGCTCTGTCGACCAGGCTGGAGTACAGTGGCACCATCTCAGCTCACTGCAACCTCTGCCTCCCAGGTTCAAGCAACTCTCCTACCTCAGCCTCCTGAGTAGCTGAACTAGTTACATTAATTTTAATGAATCGTTACGATCAAACATTTAAAAAGTAAGGCTAATAGCTCATATTTTGTAATTGGAGTAACATTTTTCATTTTGAATTTAAAAGCATCAAAATGAAAGCATTAAACAATAGACTTAATATGTTCTTACCTGGACTGTAGCTTTGGGCAACCATGCGAAAGCAATAAATATTTTCTCCTTAAAACTAAAACCAGCAAAGCACATCAATAGATATGTGATTAAAATTCGAACACATAATGCCAAACTCACAGTAGCAACAGATATGCCTACAACAGATGAAAACAAACATAAATAACAAAATATTTGGGAAGAAGTGTTCTTTATGCCCAGAGAAATGATTTCTAAAACTTTTAAAAGAATTTTAAGGCTACTGTCTCTCCATGTCTTTATTTTTTACATAAAAACCATGATTATAAAAAATGAATATGATTGAGGATTCTCTGTAAAGTACAAGAGATTATCTGATGGTGGAGGTACCATGAAAAATAAGACAGATGACATTTATTCAATTCTGAACTAATAGATTTTTTTGGAATACTTTTAAAATTATTATTAATTTATTTTTTGAGAAGGATTCTTGCTCTGTCACCCAGGCTGGAGTGCAGTGATGTGATCTCAGCTCACTGCAACCTCTGACTCTCGGGTTCAAGCGATTCTCCTGCCTCAGCCTTCCAAGTAGCTGAAATTACAGGTGTGCACCATCACACCCAGCTAATTTTTGTATTTTTAGTAGATAGGCAGTTTCCCTATGTTAGCCAGATGGTCTTGAACTCGCAACCTCAAGAAAGCTGTCCACTTTGGCCTCCCAAAGTTCCGGGATTACAGGCGTGAACCACCATGCCCAGCCAATACCTTTAAATGAAAGTATTCAAAAAGTGCTCATCGTATCAAATATTTTCCCTCAGAAAAGAACTCTTATATTTATTTCCTCAGATAACTCAGGGAAGATATTCAGGGCTGTCCTTGTTTCTTTGTTTTTTGTTTTAATTAATTTTTTTAAAAGAGCACACTGTGAAAAGGAAGAGCAATATAAAAATATCATATTGTGTCAACATGTGTTTTCTGAAGAAGGTCCTTGTAGCCATTCAAAGATATATTGTAAATAAAAATAAAAATATTCATAATTTTCTTAAATATTTTTGAATTTCATATTTTTTGTGCTCTAATTATTCTTACCAACAGTATTTGATTCAAGAGATGAAACAGATACTTCTGCTCCAACTAAACCAAAAAGAAGTGGTTGAAAAATATCCCATACATTTGTAATAAACTTTTGGACTTTCATCTGTAGAAAAGAGAAATACATTTATAATTATTTTGGCACATAAATATATTTCAGAAACTTAAAGTCTCAATTTTTTTTAACTTTTAAAGTATTTTAGAGATGGGATCTTGCTCTGTTGCCCAGGCTGGAGTGTAATGGCATAATCATAGCTCACTATAGCCTTGAACTCCTGGGCTCAAGTAATCCTCTTGCCTCAGCCTCCCAAGTAGAACTACAGGTGTGTACCACCATGCCAGGCTAATTTTTAAATTTATTGTAGAGATGGCGTCTTGCTGTGTTGCCCAGGATGGTCTGGCACTGCTGTCCTCAAGCCATCTCTGGCTGTGGCCTCCCAAAGCACTGGCATTATAGGCATAAGCCACCATGCCTGGCCTAAAGTCATTTAACATTTAATAAACTAAGACATTCTATTTTTCCAAAAATGTTAAACTTAATTAATAAAAACTGAGCACTTCGATAGTTTTACTGAAACAGGTAGAATTTGATTAAAAGTAACTCACAAAGCAATAAAATAATACTATTTGGCCATTTTGTCATAGAATAAGTGATGTCCTTGGAGTTCTAGCCATGTTTACTAAGAGTTCCAGATTTTGTTTGTAAGTTAATTGAACAGAGATAGAATTACATCATGTCTGATCAGAACATAACCAGTTCTTGAAAACATTTGGGTTCTCAGAAAGGGGTTGGGAAGCCCTCCACTAACAACCATCCTGGAACCCAATCCCATTAAAGTGAATCCTGACATAGCATACACTACCAGGAAAAACAATTTGGTAGTCTGCTAGCCCTGCTTCCAAAGAATCCCTGTTGAATACTTTAAAGTTACTTTTTCCTTAAAACCAAACCAAAACATATATTAGATTCTCATTTAGTAGCCTACCCAGCTTCCCTTTCTGTCTGTGTTTGCTGATGACATGATTGTATATTTAGACAACCCCATCATCTCAGCCCAAAACATCCTGAAGCTGATAAGCAACTTGAGCAAAGTCTCAGGATACAAAATCAACATGCAAAAATCACAAGCATTCCTATACACCAATAACAGACAAACAGAGAACCGAATCATAAGTGAACTCCCATTCACAATTGCTACATAGAGAATAAAATACCTAGGAGTACAACTAACAAGGAATGTGAAGGAGATGTGAATACAACTAATGAGGAATGTGAACCTCTTCAAGGAGAACTACAAATCACTGCTCAAGGAAATAAGAGAGGACACAAACAGATGGAAAACTATTCCATGCTGTTGGATAGGAAGAATCAACATTGTGAAAATGGCCATACTGCCCAAAGTAATTTATAGATTCAATGTAATCCCCATCAAGCTACCATGGACTTTCTTCACAGAATTGGAAAAAATGACTTTAAATTTCATATGGAACCAAAAAAGAGCTCACATAGCCAAGACAATCCTAATCAAAAAGAACAAAGCTGGGTGCATCACACTACCTGACTTCAAACTATGCTACAGGCTATAGTAACCAAAACAGCATGGTAATGGTACCAAAACAGATATATAAACCAAAGGAACAGAACAGAGGCCTCAGAAGTAACACCACACATCTACAACCATCTGATCTTTGACAAACCTGATAAAAAACAAGCAATGGGGAAAGGATTCCCTATTCAATAAATGGTGCTGGGAAAGCTGGCTAGCCATATACAGAAAGCTGAAACTGGACCCCTTCCTTACACCTTATACAAAAATTAATTCCAGATGGATTAAAGACTTGAATGTAAGATCTAAAATCATAAAAACCCCAGAAGAAAACCTAGGCAATGCCATTCAGGACGGAGGCATGGGCAAAGACTTCATGACTAAAACACCAAAAGCAATGGCAACAAAAGCCAAAATAGACAAATGGGATCTAATTGAACTAAAGAGCTTTTGCACAGCAAAATAAACTATCATTAGAGTGAAGAGTCAACCTACAGAATGGGAGAAATTTTTTCCAATCTGTTTATCTGAGAAAGGGCTAATATCCAGAATCTACAAGGAACTTAAACAAATTTACAAGAAAAAAAAAAAAACTCCATCAAAAAGTGGGCAAAGGATATGAAAAGACACTTCTCAAAAGAAGACATTCATGAAGCCAACAAACATGAAAAAAAGCTCATAATTACTGATCATTAGAGAAATGCAAAGCAAAACCACATTGAGATACCATCTCATGCCAGTTAGAATGGCAATCATTAAAAGTCAGGATACAACAGGTGCTGGAGAGGATGTGGAGAAATAGGAACACGTTTACACTGTTGGTGGGAGTGTAAATTCATTCAGCCATTGTGGAATACAGTGTGGTAATTTCTCAAGTACCTAGAACTAGAAATAGAAATAGCATTTGACCCAGCAATCCCATTACTGGGTATATACCCAAAGGATTAGAAATTATTCTGCTATAAAGACACATGCACATGTATTTTTACTGTGGCACTGTTCACAAGAACAAAGACTTGGAACCAACCCAAATGCCCATCAATGATAGACTGGATAAAGAAAATGTGGCACATATATACCATGGAATATGATGAAGCCATAAAAAATGATGAGTTTATGTCCGTTGCAGGGAAATGGATGAAGCTGGAAACCATCATTCTTAGCAAATTGACTCAAGAACAGAATACCAAACACCGCATGTTTTCACTCATAAGTGGGAGTTGGACAGTGAGAACACATGGACCCAGGGAGGGGAACATCACACACTGGGGTCTGTTGGGGGATGGGAGGCTAGAGGAGGGATAGTATTAGTAGAAATACCTAATGTAGATGATGAGTTGATGGGTGCAGCAAACCATCATGGCACATGTACACCTATATAACAAACCTGCACATTCTGCTCATGTATGCCAGAACTTAAAGTATAATAATAATTTTAAAAAAGACATGAACAACACTGTTTATGACAGCACTGTTTGTAAATAACAAAAAGTGGGAAAGATCTCAATGTCTATAAATAGAATACTGGTTACCTAAAAAATATAAAGGGGTTTGATATTTGGAAGTGGGGGATAAAGAAATCTTTTACATTTTATTCTATATGTTTTACTCTTTTACAAGCATTTTTATTTTTTATTATTGATTTGTTTGTTTATTATTTATTTATTTATTATGGAGATGGAATTTCACACTTGTTGCCCAGGCTGGAGTCCAATGGCATAATCTCGGCTCACTGCAACCTCTGCCTTCTGACTTCAAGCGATTTTTACTCTTTGAGTAGCTGGGATTACAGGTGCCTGCTACCACACCACCATGCCTGGCTAGTTCTTGTATTTTTAGTAGATACTGGGTTTTACCATGTTGGCCATGCTAGTCTCAAACTCCTGACCTCAGGTGATCTGCCTGCCTCGACCTCCCAAAGTTCTGGGATTACAGGCTGAGCCACCATGCCCAGCCTTTTACAAACATTTTTCATGGATTAATTGAATAATTAAAATTTTAATGAATAAAATAATTATATTGATAAAAGTGACATAATAATATTATATAAAACTTGGGAAAAAGAGAAGCCTGATGTGATAACTCAACTTCTGATTGCATATTAGTGTATTTCCAGGTGCTTTTCCTAAATATTTTGTTTTTTTTGATTGATTCATACACTTTCTTTAGGACACAAAACTTTATGGAATATTTTCCAACCAGACTGAGGGGATTTCCTAAATATATATTTAAAAATTCAGTTATTTTAGCTCTAAAAAAATAGTGTATTAAAAATATTCACCTTTCCTTGGGACCATTTTGTCCCTGCAATGAAACTCATCATTAGTGTGCATAATCCTCCAGATCCAAGTAAACCAATACGTTGGCTGCCTAAGACAGCAGAAACACACATGGTCAAAATAAGAAATCCTCTCTTCAATGAAAGTTCTTCCTAGAATTAGATATTTAGAAATTAGTTTACATTAAATATATAATACAAGATTTGACATTATCTATCATATATTTTTGACCATTTGAAATTATGTCTTTGAATGTTATATTAAATGTCTAATATTTTGATTTTCTTTCTCACCGTATATTTTAGCTGACTTACTACCATGTAACAAAATTTGCAGTTAGTAACATTTCATCTTCTGCCACATCTCTGATACTAATATCAGTAAAATGTTTGAAGTATTACTTTGTCAAGAAGAAAAGAGACCCATAAAATCTCCAGTTTCATATAAAATATTCAATGAATTTTTTTTCTTTTTCTTTTTTTTCCAATGAATTCTTAAAAGATAATATTTGAATATCTCTTTGGCCAATATAATTGTTACAGCTAAATTAGGATGGAAATTACAGAAATACAAAAGCAATTATGCATTTACATTTAAAGCAGGAAATGGCTAAGTTTAAGAGTGCTGCCTATATCAAAGTAGAGTAGGAGTGAATTTAAGTCAGAAAATATGCAGAAATAAATGGGAACCTATCTGCCCCAAAATGTTTAAGGAAAATTTTTGGGGAAATTATCAAACATCAATAGGCAATTTAGTAGAGAAAGGGAAAGTATAATTCAGAGGGATACTCTGCATTAAGTATATTTTTTGATATTCCTTATTTGCCAAATCAGGAAGCAGAGATTTTAATCAAAGCCATTGACCTGTGTTAATCACTGCTATGCTCAGTTTTAAGTATACAGTAGGCATTGGAGGCTAGTTTTAGAGGAATAATAGAGTTAAGTGTCAAATTTCATGGATCTTACCAAAGTTTAATATTTTGAAAAAAATGTCTAATACTATACTTCTATAAAATAGATTCTTTATTTACCTGGTCTTCACTTGGAAAATATCGAAGAAAAAATCCCAAAACACTTCCTGCCAGCAGACTAACACATACGTTCCTTATAGAGGATAGGATATTATGAACTATACTACCTGTAAGGGCACACAATAAAAAAAATTTACGAAGAAATATTTCCCATACACTACATACCAGAAAAGCAAATCTAAGTGGTTCATGAAGAAAGGTAAGGATTTAATAGAACACTTATATGAAAATGGTCTTTTAATAGTAACATATATGAAAGCATGTAGATCTATTTAGTACCTTAAATACATATTCTCAAATAATTTAATATGTACACACGACTCAGAAATGTCCATTATATAAATAGGTCAGAAAACAAAGACTTAACAAGCCACAACAGGCTCCCCTTATATAGCCAACTTAAAAGACCAAGTAGTCCAGGCACAGTGGCTCACGCCTGTAATCCGAGCACTTTGGGAGGCTGAGGTGGGTGGATCACTTGAGGTCAGGAGTTTAAGACCAGCCTGGCCAACATGATGAAACCTCATCTCTACTAAAAATACAAAAATTGGCTGGGCATGGTGGCGCACACCTGTGGTCCCAGGTACTCAGGAGGCTGAGGCAGGAGAATCACTTGAACGCAGGAGGCAGAGGGTGCAGTGAGGTGAGATCGTGCCACCGCACTCCAGCCTGGGCAAAAGAGGGAGACTACGTCTCAAAAAAAAAAAAAAAAAAAATAGACCAAGTGAGGTACAAGAATGGAGAGAGACTGAAACACCTGTGGCATTTAGCATATGGCTGGTAAGGGCTATTAATGATTTTTCTTTGATGTGCTATATGAAAAATAAATGATTTTAACATAAAAAAACTGTAACAACAACATAAAAAATTTTGTTCCAGGGTCAGTCCTATAAATATTCAAGGATCAATTAGGATTCCAGTATATTCAAATATCTGCTTTTGGTGAAGAAAAAAGAAAAAAAAAGATAAAAAAGTATATTTTATATTCATGAATATTAATATATTCATACTTGCAATAAGTAAAAAAAAAGATTCTGAGTCACAAAAATAGTTCATTTAAGCTCTGGGTAGTGGATTCAATATAGTCAGTAAGTATATTTTTAGACATATTTTCTTCTAAGTCTAACAGGCAGGGCATGGTAGGCTCACACCTTTAATCCTAGCACTTTGGGAGGCCAAGGCAGAAGGATTGCTTGAGCCCAAGAGTTTGAGTCCAGCTTGGGCAATAGAGCAAAACCCCATCTTTACAAGAAAATTTAAAAATCAGCCAGGTATGTGGTATGTGCCAATAGTCCTAGTACTCAGTAGGCTGAGGAGAAGGTCCCTTGGGCTCAGGAGTTCCAGGCTGCACTACAGTCTGGCTGGCAGAGCAAAACCCTGTCTCTAGAAAATAAAGTATAATAAAAATAAGAAATAATAGAAACAGAGTGATGTCAGCCAGATGGTGGAATGGGAAGCTCCAAACCTTGAGTCTCCACAAAGATACCAACTGAACAACAATATATGGTCTAAAATCTGTTATGCAGTTCCATAAACCATTAAGAAGTTGTAGTAAAACAGGTAAGTGCAAAGCCAAGAATAGTGGCATTGATCAAATAAGAAAAGCTGTTGCACTATACTCGTGATAGCCCTTTTCCAAGCTGGAACAGGTTGGTGTGGCTGGGAGAAAGCACTCAACTTGCAGCATCTCCATTAGCAGGGGAAAAAGAAGACTGGAATGGAACATTTTTGTGAGGATGCCTGAAGCTCTCTCTTCCTCTAACTTGACACCCAACCTGCATACTTTGGATGCATGGGAGCCACTGAGAATAAAGGAGAGGTCAGAGATAATGCAGCACCAGGAAACCTGCAGTACCACAGACAGATACCAGAGGGAACAACAGCTTCAGAAAAAGAAACTGGCAAACCTCTACTTGGGATATTGCATGTATAAACCCAAAGAAGATGCACTCCCAGAAAAGGTTTGAGAGGCCGCTAGAACATATAGCCAGGCTGATTCAGGTAAACGTCTTCTGTAGGAAGCCAGTTGATAAAAACTGGAAGAAGTAGTAGTTTTTTCGAAGGTCCAAATCTCAGCAAAAATAAATAAAAAATAAAAAACAACAAGGCATAAAAAGAAAGAAACCTAATGACCAAATTAAAGGAGCAAAATAAATCTCCAGAAACCAACCCTAAAGAAATGGATAATTGAATTACCTGGCAAAGAATCCAACTTAACTCTCTTAAAGAAGCCCAATGACAACACAAATAGACAACTAAATGAAATCAGGAAATAATTCATGAACAAAATGAAAATATTAACAAAGAGAAACTAAAAAAAAAAAAAGAACTCTGGAGCTGAGGAATAATTGAATTGAAAAATTCACTATAGGAAATCACCAACAGACTATGTAACTGTCCAATGGGTTCACATTGCTTGCACCCTGCCTAGACAGAGCTTATTTACCAAGACAGAGGAACTGCCATGGTGAAAGAGTAACTCATGAGCTGACTCTGCATGAGACTGGAGTTTTATTATTACTTAGTCTTCCCAAGCATTTAGGGATCAGAAGTTTTAAAGATAATTTGGCAGGTAGGGACTTGGGAAGTGGGGAGTGCTGATTCAGTAGGTTGTAGATGAAATCATAGGGGGTTGAAGTGATGTTTTCTTGCTGTCTTCTGTTTGTGGGTGGGATGAAAGAACTGGTTGAGCCAGATTACCAGTCTGGGTGGTGTTAGCTGATTAATCCAGTGCAGGGTCTGCAAAATATCTCAAGCACTGATCTTAGGTTTTACAATAGTGATGTTATCCCCAGGAGCAATTTGGGGAGGTTCAGACTCTTGGAGCCAGAGGCTGCATAACCCCTAAACTGTAATTTCTAATCCTGTAGGTAATTTGTTAATCCTGCAAAGGCAGACTGTTCCCCAGAAGGGGATCTTTTTGGGAAACCACTATTAGCAACTTGGTTTCAGAGTGAAACCATGAACTGAATTCCTTCCCAAAGTTAGTTTATCCTACTCCAGGAATGAACAAGGACAGTTTAAATGTTAGAAGCAAGATGGAGTTGATTACGTCTAATCTCTTTCATTGTCATAATTTCTTCAGTTATAATTTTTGCAAAGGCAGTTTCAATCGCATCAAGCAGAAGAAAGAATAGTGAAACTGAAAACTGGTCATTTGAAATTATGGAGTCAGAGAGGCAAAAGGGAAAAGGAATGAAGAGTGAAGACAGCCTAAGAGACTTATAGAATGCCATCAAGTAGACCAATGTATGCATTATGAAAGTGCCAGAAGGAGAAGAGAAAAATAAAGGGTCAGAGAGCCAGTTAAAAAAATAGTAACAAATAATTTCTCAATTTAAGGAAGGAAATGGACATACAAATCTAAGAAGCTCAAAGAACTCCAAGTTGGATAATTTGCAAAAGACCTACAACGAGACACATTATAATCAAACCGTCAAAAGTCAAAGACAAAGAGAGAATCTTGAAAGGAACAGAATAAAAGCAACTTTTCACATACAAGGGAGATGTCATATGGTTATCAGTGGAATTCTCAGCAAGAACTCTTAACAGGCCAGAAGAGAATGGGATGATATATTAGAAGGGCTGAAAAAAAAGTCAACAAAGAATAGTATAGCCAGTAAAACTGTACTTCAAAAATGAAGGACAAACAAAAACTTCCCCAGAGAAGTAAAAGTTGAGGAAGTTGATCACCACTAGACCTACCTTACAAAAAATGTTAAAGCAAGTCCTTCAACTGGAAATGAAAGGGCATTGGATGGCAATACAAAATATAAACTTCTTTGGTAAAGGTAAATATATGAGTGAACACAGAATCCTGTAATACTGTAATGGTGGTAAGTAAAACACTTTTTTTCTTTACCTTTTCCTTTTTTCTTTTGAGACAGGGTCTGGCTCTGTTGCCCAGGCTGGAGTACTGTGGTTTGATCATGGCTCACTGCAGCCCTGCAGTCCTGGGCTAAAGCAGTTCTCCCACTTCAGCCTCCCAAGTGGCTGCTGCTACAGACATGCACCACCACACTCTAATATTTTAAAATTTTTAGTAGAGACAAGATCTTGCTGGCCTCAAACTCCTAGGCTCAAGCGATCCTCTCATCTTGGCCTTCCAAAGTGCTGGGACTTCAGGTGTGAGCCACTACACCCAGTCTATAAATCACTTTTAATTGAAGCATAACTTCAAAAGGTAAAAGCATAACTTTATCAAATTATGTGAATGAATATACAATATAAAAATATGTATTGTCTGACATAGAAAAAGTGAGAAGGAGATGTAAAGAAGTAGAGTTTTTGTATGTAATTAAAGTTAAGTTGTTGTCAATTTAAAATAGATTGTTATAACTATGTTTTCATGTAATTCTACAGTAACCACAGAGAAAAGACCTATAGAAGATACACAAATAAAAATGGGAAAGGAATCAAAGCATGTCCAAAAAAAGAACTCAATGAAACATAAAGGGAGGCAGGAAGAGAGGAAAAGAGGAACAAAATAGCTACAAGACATATAGAAAACAATTAACAAAATGACAATAGCAAGCCCTTCCCTATCAGTAACTACTTTAAATGCAATAGGTTAATTCTCCAATCAAAAGACAGAGATTGGTTGAATGGATTAAAAAAAAACAAGATCCAAATATATACTACATGCAAGAGACTCATTAGATCTAAAGACACACAAGGTTGAAAGTGAAAGGATGGAAAGAGATAGCACAGATGGTAACCAAAAGAGAACAAGGATGGCCATATTTAGACAAAATAGAGTTTAAATTAAATAGTATCACAAGTGACAAGGACATTACATAATAATAAAAGGGCCAATTGACCAAAAAGATATAGCAATTATAAATATATATGCAACTAACAGTCCAACATCCAAATCACATGAAGCTAATAGACAGAATTGAGGGGTGACATAGATAGCAACATCATAACAGAAAACTTCAATATTCCACTTTCAATTACGGATAGTACAACCATAGAGAAGATCAACTGGAAAACAGAGAACTTGAAAAACATTATAGACCAATTGGACCTACCTGACATATACAGAACACTTCACCCAATAATAGCAAAATATGCTTTCTTCTCAAGTACATACCAAGCCTTTTCC